CAAGGAAAAATCAAACGAAAAAGCTACAGGGAAATGATTCAATGCTTCAATTGCTCCTGACATCCAAGAAGACAAAAACTACTAAGAAGCAAAGGAAGGAAAAGTCAAAGCTAAAGCTCTAGAGTAGTGCTCCCCTCCTGCCATTTCTAATTTCTATCTAATAATCCTCCCCATATGCGGCGGCGCCACAGAAGAAAAGAAGACCTCTGCCAAATGACCAAAAAGGGCTCGCGTCCCTTTTTTCCCAAAGTTGCCCCTACATGCCTTCTATTTGGGTTCTTTTCCGATGACTGTCAAATTGGCATTTGTTATAATATTTTCAATCTACTCCCTGAAATAACTGCAAATCATAAAAAGTGAGTAGAATCTAGTAATAAATTCACATCAGGTCAAGTAATAGGGAAAATTGATAATAAAATAAATGATAAAATCGCACCCTATCAATTCCCCCCACACCTAAACTATACTTGCCCTTAAGCACAAGAACAGTAAACAGACACCAAAATTTGACAATGGCCATCACTCTTATCTACTACGTTGCCAAGATACCAAGGAAAACCATATATCAAGTATTAGTGATCAAAATCCGAGAAGCATCACCTCGATTAGCTTTTAAACCGCAAACTCTTTCAATTCTAACTTAACTGATCTAAGAAAAAGGAATGGCGCACAATATTTATCGGCAAATGGTCCAAATATTAACCAAAATCTCCATATTAAGTCTATAAATCGGCAAACTGACCTCTAACACACACTAACACAACCTGCACTTTTTTTCACGTTTTCTATTATTCATTTTTTTCTTTATTTTCTCTTTTTTTTAAGATTAGCACAAAAGATTTAGTCTGTAGCCATTGGAGCCTTTTGACGCGAACTCCGACATTTGTCAGATGAAAGAGCTCGGTTACTCAGCTCCTATCGCCACGTGACCACATGTTCATAGCAATTACTACTTTTTGACGCGAGAATCGACACTTTCGGTGAAGATCCCCGGTTACTTGGTAGTAAAGACTAGTGGAGTACAGTCAGCTCTTATTCACAGCCAAATAACACAAAAACTCAATATAAAACAAAAATCAAAAGAAAATTTGCATCAATTAGCCTCATTTTTTCCAAACATGGAGAACTAGAGTTAATCACTGGACCAATTCACATGAAAATGCCAACCGTCATTCCCTAAACCTAGAAAAGTTAACAAAAAAAATCAAAAGAGTCAGGTAGTCATCGATATTCAACAAAGAGATGTTTTGGACTCAACCACATCAACTCAATACACTTTTATCATTAAAACTTGGCAAGAGTAGATTTAAAGTCAATAACTCAACATCAAACTTTGGCATTCATATGAGAGCTAATCAATAAAAAGAAAGACAGAGACTCAAATAACAAATTAGAAATAAAGGAAAAACACCTAAAACTAAAAACTACTAAAAACGAGAACCACAACTGATCCAATCCCCCCCAAACCTAAACGATACATTATCCTCAATGTAGCAAGTAAACAACAAAAGTAGAAGAGAGGGCAACAAAACTCCCCTAGAATCGGGTCAAAGTGGAGGGTGAGGTAGTGCTGGGGGCGGAAAACCCGAGTGCTACATGAATACCGCCAAATTTTGTGCCATGGCAGCACATTGTTGTCAATGTTAATCATCCAAGCCTCCAAATTCTCAACCTGCATCCGAAGTTGGTGCCAGGCCTCAGCCCCTAGTGGTGGAGGGGGGAGCGGGGTGGTCTCGAAGGGGTAAAAAGGTAGGCACCATCGACATGCTCCGGAACTCCTATCCGCTCCAAGCGTTCAGCATTCAAATATTCCATGTCGCAGGCCAAATGAAGGTCGTGATCCTGGAGATTGAGAACTCCTAGCTGGACCGCTAGGTGGGTGATGTAGGATCCGAGAATCAGGGGCTTGTTCTTCTTTGCATAATAGACTTGAACTGTGCCGCCAACCAACACTCCAAGTTGACCTTGAACCCATTTTTCATGCACCAGAGGAAGAAGAGCTCCGGCCGAGAGATTATACCCGAACTGTCTTTTCTACCCGAGTAGCTGTATGCCAAAAGTCGCTGAACATACCGAACACTCGGGTCCTCAAGAAAGGAGCTCCTAAATCGAGATGGGTTATAACGCTGCTCGTCGACAGACATGTCTTCCCACACCTCGCAGTAGGCGGAAAGAAACAGCTCCACATAATCACAGGCACTCTCAGCGTATTCCCTAGTCTCAGCGTACTCCCGAGTGATGAAACTGAAAGCCAGATTGAACTCGGTGATGGAGAAATTGAATTCCTGGCCCATGAGACGGAAATAGATGACGTTGGGAGTTTCAACAGTATACCTCGCAGGGAGTTCAAATTCAAAAGTGGAGTAAAACTCCCTAGTCAACTTGACAAAGGTGGGTTGGAAGACAACGAGATAGGGGCGTCAACCAATGGCGGTGTACATGCGCTCAACCTCCTCTTGAATACCCAGAAAAGTCATAGTCATGTTGTCAGCGCACTTGCATGGAATGATACGCCGCTCACAGGTTTTAGCATAGTGCCGCTGATCGGCGGGTCTAGTGAACTCTAAATGCCCAGCCGAGGTGAGCGGCGGAGGCCACGTGGGCACCCCTACCCTTGCCCAACCGGGTTCGAGCACCGGTGGCAGAAGGTTGGTTGATAGGGGTATTGACCGGATTGGAGGGTTGTGGTGGAGGCTGAGAGTGAGAGGTTCTAGACCAAGAGGAGGATTTCAGTTTGGCCATGGGTATGAGCAATCAACAAGGAGAGAAACTAGCCGATACAATTAGCAAAAGAAACTCAGCAAAAGCAAATCAATCGTCTCCAAGTGGTAACCCAATCGGTAGCAAACAGAAGAATTCAAGCAAGTGTCCCCAACCCACTGGGGTTAATAACCAACCCAAGAAGTTCAGAAGTCCTCCGAACCAGCAATTGAAGGCATTAGCCAGAAAGCCCCCAACGAAGCGATGAGATAAGACCAATCTCACAAAGTAAATCACTCGACACAGGGCCCCAATTCAATAGGCCATATCAGAATTAATTCACCAAAAATCTCAAAAGAAACCTCAACGAACTTAGCAATTTAAAACAAAGGGCAAAATATTTCCCAGCAACTCAATCAGATGTACCCAACTGGAATAAGCAATGTAAATGGCAAAGAAACCTCCCCAATTTAACAAACAAGTGCAGTATTTCAGCTCACCCAAAATCTCAACAAATGGCTCCAGTTGGCTAGTAAAAGTCTTAACTCAAAATCAGCAGTTTCAATGAAGACAGCGTAGATATTGGATAATAAGAACGCAGCCAACCAAATAAAGGTACCAAATTAAGATCCAGTTACTCCACCAGTACCACTGGTGCCGAATGTAGTTTAAAATCAATGAAATAGCTATAACAGAACAGAGCAAATGCTACCTACGGCCCCCCAATGCATCAGCCAACAGTAGAGGCTATGCAGTGCCACACTCGCAACAAGGGCTCCAACAAAGGCCGCAAAGGAACTCAATTAAAATGAATACGGAAGGCAAGTGAAATCAAGAGGTAGAACACACCCAATGATCCAAGATGACTCAACCAACTTCAAGAAATAACACAAGGATCACAATCTCCTCCAAATTTAATAGATAACCCAGAAATTGCACCACTACAGTTCTAATAATTCAAGCAATAATTCCCAGATAACTGTTAACAAATCACCCCCAGATAGGCACTTATGTAAGCAGGAAATTGGACCATAGATTAATCCCAAAATTAACAGACACATTTAAAATTTCAGAGGCCCAGTGAAGTGGGCGAAGTGGGGGAATACCTGCGTACTGGGGGAAATTTCAGAAGCCTAGTGAAATGGACGACGGACAATGGGGAGGCGACGGCTGGTGGTCGGCGGACAGTAGCAGGGGGTGCGGCGAGGGAGGTGCGCACCCCGTGCGTCGAAGTGACAGTGGCATGGGGCAGCGGCCCTGGCTGCTTCGCATGGCGAGGTGGAGCACAGCGCGAGGTCGGCCTGCGATGGAGGCAAACTGGGGACAGCGGAGCTCGGAGGAGCTGGAGGGCCGCGGCTGCGTGGCTGTGCGGCGCTATGGCGAGCTACCCTGTAATGCCAGCGGCAACGCGCAAGCAGGTCGTCTGCTTGGGCGTGAGATGGGGCCGGTGGAACAATGGCAGCTCACGGGCGGAGGTGGGCTGGCGAGCGACTGTGGTGGCGGCGCGAGGGAGGTTGAAGACTTCACGTGCGGTGGCGGGCGGAAGAAAAGAAAGAAAAGGCAAACAGGGGCAACGGGAAGAAGAAAGAACAGAGAAAGAAAGAAGAAGAAAGAAAGAAAGAAAGGGAAGGAAAAAAAAAGAGAAATAAAAAAGAAAAGAGAAAAAGAAAACAAAATAGTTTTTGTGTGTTTTTTTTTGTGAATTTTTTTTCTGTTTTCGTTTTGTTTTTTTTTCCTTTTTTTTCTTTCTTTTTGAGGAAAGTTGTTTTTTTTTTATTTTTTTTGCTTAATTTAATTATTATTATATTTTTCTTTTTAAAAAAAAATTATTTCTTTCTTTTTTAAAATTTTTCTTTCTTTTTTTTATTGAATACTATTATTATTACAAAACTTATTTTTGAAATTAAAAATTAGAGAATAACGGAAAATCAATAATCGTGCTTGAGTTCTTTTGAATCTTTACCTTTCCCGCGAACGTGACGCGGGCACGTCATGGAGGCACGGAATGAGGAGCTCTCCGGATGACTTGACGCGGGCACGTCATGAGGGCAAGAATCCCTTCCGACGATTCTGACCATGAGTTCTCCATACGTCATGACGTGAGCGCGTTATGAGAGAAGGACACCCACAAATCATCAAAACGAAAATTGAAACCTGAAATTAGTCGAGTTCAAGGAAAACATTATTTAAACTATCACACAAAATCAATCAAACAATTAGAAGAAATAATTAGGTTGCCTCCCAATGAGCGCTTTTCTTTAATGTCTTTGGCTAGACATGGCTAAGGAGTGCTATTTGGATCACTGTGGCTCATCCAACCGTATTGCCTCTATCTCTCCATCTACAAGACCCTCATAATAGTGTTTGAGACGGTGTCCATTCACTACAAACTTGTTGTCTGTTTTAGCACTCTGGATTTCAACTGCACCATATGAAAACACGCGAGTAACAATAAAAGGTCCAATCCAACGGGAACATGGCTTACCTGGGAAGAGCTTGAGCCTAGATTGGTACAGGAGGACCTTCTGACCAACTTCAAAGGTCTTTCTAGAGATTTGTTGGTCATGAAATGCCCGATTCCTCTCCTTGTAAACTAGTGCATTTTCGTAGATTTCGTTCCGGATCTCCTCCAATTCTTGCAAATCCAACTTCCGTTGAGCACCGGCCTCTTCTAGGTTCATATTACATTGTTTGATCGCCCAAAAAGCTCTGTGCTCGAACTTCACTAGAAGGTGACACGGTTTTCCAAATACCAACCTGTACGGCGACATCCCTATAGGGGTCTTGTACGCCGTTCGATAGGCCCAGAGTGCATCTTCCAACCGTTGACTTCAATCATTCCTATCGGGTAGAACTATTTTCTCAAAAATGGACTTAATTTCCCTATTCGATACCTCCGCTTGACCATTAGTCTGCGGGTGGTATGACGTTGAGACCCTGTGGAGTACACCGTACTTGCGAAATAACGCAGCCACGGTCTTATTGCAGAAATGCGTCCCCCTGTCACTAACAATGGCCCTTGGCATCCCAAAACGCATAAAAATATTAGACCTGATAAAATCTGCAACCACTTTCGGATCATTAGTCCGGGTGGTCTTACATTCCACCCATTTAGACACGTAATCGATTGCCAACAAAATATACACAAAACCAAATGAGGTAGGAAAAGACCCCATGAAATCGATACCCCACGCATCAAAAATTTCAACAAAGATTAACAGGACTTGGGGCATATGATCTCTACGGGCTATATTACCTACCCTTTGACAATGATCACAAGACTTACAAAACACATACGCATCTTTAAACAAAGAAAACCAATAAAATCCACTTTCCAATACCTTATGAGCAGTTCTCTTGGGTCCAAAATGACCTCCATAGGCAAAAGTATGACAAAAAGTTACAATCGATTGGAATTTAGCTTCACTTACACATCGCCTCATCACCTGATAGGCGCACCTCTTCCATAAGTACGGGTCGTCCCAAATGAAATATTTGGTGTCACTCTTCAATTTATCCCTCTTCGATTTTGGCAAACCTGCAGGAAAATTACCCGTTACTAAATAATTGACTAAATCAGCATACCAAGGCAATTGAGAATTTAAAAACAATAAATGCTCTTCAGGGAATGCATCCTTCAATGGTTCGTCCTCCTCTCGAACTGGTATGCGACTCAAATGGTTGGCTACTAGATTCTCCGAGCCTCTTTTATCCCTTATCTCCAGGTCAAATTCTTGTAGGAGCAATATCCACCTTATGAGCCTCGACTTTGCATCTTTCTTGGTCATTAGGTACCTTAACGCTACATGATCAGAAAATACAATAATTTTAGCACCTAACAAATATGATCTGAATTTTTCTAAAGCAAAAGTTACTGCAACAAGCTCCTTCTCAGTAGTAGAGTAATTCAACTGGGTCCCATTCAGAGCACGGGATGCATAGTAAATTACGTGAGCTGCCTTTCCTACTCTTTGCCCCAAAACAGTCCCTACAGCATGATCACTGGCATCGCATATGATCTCGAATGGCAAACTCCAGTTAGGGGGCTGGATGATCGGGGGTGAGGTCAATAACTCTTTCAATTTGTCGAAAGCTTTCTCACACTTGTTATCAAACTCGAAAGCTATATCTTTTCGTAAAAACTGGAATAACGGGGCTCTAATTTTCGAAATATCTTTGATGAACTTTCGATAAAAACCTGCATGTCCAAGAAAAGAGCGCACCTCCCGCACACTCGCTGGGTAAGATAAAGCAGATATAATATCTATTTTCGCCCTGTCAACCTCGATGCCCTTAGAAGATATAATATGACCCAAGATTATCCCGTGTTCAACCAGAAATGACATTTTTCCCAGTTAAGCACAAAATTAGCCTCTATACACCTTATCATGATCAATTTCAGGTTATCTAGATATGTATCAAAACTATCACCATACACACTGAAATCATTCATGAAAACTTCAATTATTTTCTCAACATATTCGGAAAAATGCTTACCATATATCTCTGGAAAGTGGCAGGTGCATTGCACAATCCGAAAGGCATCCGTCTATAAGCAAAGATCCCGAACGGGCACGTGAAAGTTGTCTTCTCTTGATCCTCTGGTGCAATCGCTATCTGGAAATACCCTGAAAATCCATCCAGAAAACAGTAATAAGCCTTACAAGCCAAGCGTTCAACCATTTGATCAATGAAAGGGAGAGGAAAATGGTCCTTTTTGGTAACGGCGTTCAGCCTGCGGTAGTCTATACACTGTCTCCAACCAGTGGGTTTGCGCACTGGTACTAGCTCACCCGTTTGGTTGGCCTCTGCCATCACTCCTGCCTTTTTTGGAACTACCTGGACCGGGCTTACCCATGGGCTATAAGATATAGCAAATATGATCCCCACATCGAGTAGCTTCAATATTTCTTTTTTCACCACATCCATCATGAGGGGGTTGAGCCTCCTTTGAATTTGGCGCACAGGTTTGGCATCCTCCTCCAGTCTTATTCAATGCATGCAGATAGAGGGAATGATTTCCTTAATGTCGGCAATGGTCCACCCTATTGTCTCTTTATGCTCTCTGAGGACCCGAATCAACTTTTTCTCCTGGGTTTTTGATAGTGCCGATGAGATAATCACCGGGAGCGTCTCGTTGTCGCCCAGATATGCATATTTCAAGTGCTCTGGTAGGGGTTTCAACTCCAATACAGGTGCCTGCACCACATATGACAATATCCTCTGGTGAGATTCAGAAATAAAAATAGGTGAGACTTCATACCTTTTTGTAGTGGTCGGCAATGAGTGCAATGCGCCTATTGTGCATTTTAGATCTTCGCTCCACTCCACTTCAGGCATCGTCTCCAACTCGAGGTGCTTGGTCAGAGCCACCTCCAACTCATCCCTGCCAACAGTTTCAAACACTTCCTGCACCGTAGGGTCAATAGTACTCACAGAGAAAACATAGCTAAAATTGGAGTTTGAGAGGTATTTCATAGTATCAAAGATATTGAAATGAACAATTTTTCCATCAAACTCCATAGACAAGGTACTCTTGTTAACATCAATTTTAGTTTGTACTGTGCTCAAAAGGGTCTACCTAATAGCAGAGATGAGGGATCAGGGGAATGATCATCATCCATGTCAAGTACATAAAAGTCAGCTGGGGATACCAAATCATTAATTTTTACCAACACATCTTCAACTAACCTATCAAGATACGTATTAGTTCGATTAGCTAATTGAATGATTATCTCAATTTCTTTTAATGGACCTAAGTTTAGAGAAGCATAGATAGATTTTGGCATCACATTAATTGACGCCCCTAAGTCCAGCATGGCTTTTCTAATCAAGGTGTTGCCTATCCTACAGGGGATAATGAACATACCTGGGTCCCCACACTTTGGTGGGAGCTTTCTCTGCAGGACTGTGGACATATTCTCCCCCATAATGACTCTTTCGTCTCCCCTTAACCGCCTCCGATTGACACACAAGTCCCTTAAAAATTTGACATATTTCGGCACTTGTTTAATCATGTCTAAGAGGGGGTATTAACCTCTACTTTGCAAAACACTTCTAGGATTTCCTTCTCCTTATCCTGCTTCTTCGATTTTTTCAACCTGCTAGGAAAGGGAGGCGGGTTAGTTTTAACTGTAATGACTGGATCTAGAAGTACCTGTGGATTTGTGCCATTGTTGTCCTCCTTCTCAAGTTCGTTCTCAATCTTTTCCTCATCATTGTCTTTTGGAATCATGAGTTATGATCCCTGAATTTCTTTCCTGCTCCTTAAAGTCATCGCACTTACGTTCTTCGGGTTCACTTCAGGCTGAGACGGCAATTTACCTTGGATTTGGGACTCCAAATGGTTGATTGTTGTGGTCATTTGAGTCATCTGATTTCTTATGTTCTGCATTTCAGAATCCGTCTTTTGTTGATTAGCAATTAATTACTTCATCATCTCCTCCAAAGATGGACTAGAGCTTGGTGGCGGAAGTGGTGGTGGGCAGGGATGATACTGCTACTGGTACCCTTGTTGTTTATTTGGCACGAAATTAGATTGCCTATTCCCTCCATAGCTGAGGTCTGGGTGGTCCCTCCAACCAGGGTTGTAGGTACTTGAATAGGGGTCATAGGGTCTTCTTGGCGCGGGCGCGTGACCTACCATGTTCACTTGCTTTGCACTTTCTTTCTGAACCAGTGGACGCACCTCTGTAGAATGACCCACGACAGCACATTCCCCACACACTTTGGCTTGTGAGGCACTTCCTACAGCTAATTGTCACACGAATGATGTCAATTCAGAAATTTGCTGCTAGATGGAGGATGTTTCTATCTCATTCACCCTACGCGCTGTGACATCCTTCCTCGTACCAAACTGCTGCGAATTCTCTGTCATTCCTTCAATTAGTTCCCATGCTGCCCGAGGAGTCTTGTTCACTAACGCCCTTCACTTGTAGCATCAATGATGCTTTTGTCTCTGAAAAGGAGCCCCTCATAAAAATACTATATGAGCAACTGCTCATTTATTTGGTGGTGGGGCACTTGATGCACAATTTCTTGAATCTCTCCCAATACTCATAGAGGAACTCGCCTGGGTGTTGCTTGATACCGCGGATTTCCTTGCTTAGACTTGCAGCTCGAGACGCCGAAAAATATTTGTCTAAAAAATTTTTTCTTCAGCTGATCCCACGTGGTGATACTACCTGGTGGCAGGTAGTACAACCAGTCTTTTGCAGAGTCCTTCAAAAAGAAGGCGAATGCCCTCATTTTTATCTGCTCTTCTGTAATACCTGGGGGTTTCATGCTGTTACAAACTACATCAAACTCTTGTAGGTGTTTATACGGCTCCTCACCTGGTAAACCATGGAATGATGGCAAAAGATAAATTAGCCCATATTTTAATTCAAATGGAGTGTTATCATTTAAACTTGGGAAAGTAATGCATAGAGGTTGCTGATTTAAATTGGGAGCAGCCAACTCCCTTAGTGTTTGTGCATTCGCCATGGTGTCTTCTTCCTGGTCTGAATTACTTGAGTTATCACCATGCAAATCCATTGACTCAACCTCTGGGTCAAGTCCTTGAGATGTAATACTGGGCTGCTCCTCTATGAGTTGTCTGGTTTCATTTCTTATTCTACGCGCGATCTTCTCTACTTCATGATCAAAAATCAATTCACTTGTACGAGAAGACCGAGGCTGATGAGCAACCCTAGGGGAAGACCCTCCCAACCTTGTAATTATCAGAGTTGGATCTTTTCTCCCAATGAAAATTGAACTCGATTGTTCTCAT